GTCCTTAGGAATGTGATTTCCTCTTAAAAGAAGATTTTTAGGCTGCAGGTGGGCATCTGTTCATTTGACTTCCTTTTTGCTTTCACAAGATCTTTCAGCTCCTTTTTTTCTTATTTCCCTTCTTAATGTTCAGGACTTTTAGATAAGGTGCAGGTTATTATGGAAATACCCTAGAACATGCCAGCTATAGAAGAAAATCTAAGTGCTTCTCTTTTAATAACGATGAGCTAATTAAACTCATCCATCAAAATCCATTACTGCTGGCAGTTTCTGCAAAGACAGCTTGCACGAGGACTGGACTGTGAAAGAAGCGTCTCAGCCTTGGCCTTTGTCAAGGAGTAGCTCAGGTTTGGAGGCCTTGAAGAACTCCGTCCTTTCTGCAGTACAAATCAGGGACATGGAGCCAAACTCCCCATAGTTTATGACTTTACAGCATGTGCACGGACCCCATTTCTTCAAACTGGAGTTGTAGCAAGGGGCAGGCGGGCATCTTCCCCTGGAAGGTGTTTCCCAAAAGGCATTTCTGTCCTGATCCCATCAGCAGCTCTCCTGTGCTCCTGCTTCAAACCAGCTGCATTGTTTCTGGCTTCTGTTCTTGCTCCATTCCTTGAAGAAACTCCCAGCCCCAGCCTGCCTTCTGAGTCTGTGTGACCCCCTAGCCCCAGCCTGCCTTCTGAGTCTGTGTGACCCCCTAGCCCCAGCCTGCCTTCTGAGTCTGTGTGACCCCCTAGCCCCAGCCTGCCTTCTGAGTCTGTGTGACCCCCCTAGCCCCAGCCTGCTTTCTGAGTCCATGTAGCCCAGACGGGTGACTGGTGCTATTCCCAGGGCTTCTGAAGTGCTGGAGACCTATGGCATCCTTCTCAGCGAAGAGGAGGGGTGTTTCACATGTGTTTTCTGTTGTGCAGATTTGTGAGTTTATCTGGAATATGATCCAGGGCTACGCAAGTCAATTCAGACTTCTGTATTCACTGCACAGGGAAACCTTCACTTTCCAGTGGGCTTGCAGGCCTGCAGGCACAGTAGCAGAAAGGTTTTTGACCAGAAATGGTGTCAACCTGGTGATGTCACCTTCCCTATAGGTTGAAGATACCGTCTGTATTAACCCTGACCAACTCAATATTGCACTAGTTTTGTTACAGAGCACTCTGGAGAGCTGGGGATGAGTGACTTGTCCCCGAGCTTCCAGGAGACATTAATTCAGCCCCAGAACTTGGTGATCTACAGGTCCTGCTAGTCTACCCTCAACCCCCAGAACAGTTAAGCTGCATCTTGGTTTCAGTGTCTTTTGTTCATCTGTTGAGTATTGTGGTTGGATTTCTGCCTTTCATAGCTTTTTTTCTGAAGACTACTGATATGAATACAACCATCCTAGACAGAAGAACTGGAGAAACTTTTTAAAATAAGGCCAGCTCTGACTCATGTGCTGATGAAAGGCTCATGCAGTCACTGTGGAGAGCTGCAATAAAAAATTACAATAAAGGTAGCAGCAGGAGACAACTACAGACAACAGGCCGAGGAGAAAGACGTGCAAGGCAGGGGGAGAACTTCTGTTCCTTCCTCAGATTCCTCTCTGCTGTATTGTGCAGCAGCGAAAGCCGGCAGCTGCAATGGGGCCTGGTGATGCTCTTTACTTCCCTGAGATTTTTTTCGACTTGCTGTTTTAACAAGCCTCCTGGATCATTACTGGTTTCCCCTTTGCTGGAGGAGCCAAGACACCTTGTAAGGGCTAAGTTGGGGCAGGAAACTGAGGATCCAGGTCAGCCCTTGGTGGCTAGCAGTGCTCTGTGAGGGCAGGAGCCACGCAGCGATGATGCAGGAGACCAGCTTCAAAGACATCAGGCAGCAAGGCCTGATACTGCAGGGACCTGCAGGTCTGCCTCAGGAGGAGGTTTGAGGTGGCCAAGGGTGGGCTAAAAGTGCTGATTCCAGGCTTACGTTGCTCTCTTCTGCAGAGCAGGAACAGCCCTGCAGAGCTGTGTGGGTCCATACAGGCCAGCAGTGGGTCTGACTCGCAGGGTGCTGCAGACATTGCACGCAGTGCTTTGGCCTATGAGGGCAGGCAGGGGAGCCTGCCACGACTCAGCCCTCACCTCCAAGGCACTGAATTTCTCCTGGGAGTCCTTTGACAGTCCAAGATCAGGAGGGTTCAATCTTGCCCTCACCTGAAGGGTGGCCTAGTTACATCTAACGCCTTCTCAGAAGGGTTTGCTCTCTGCCTTGTCCTTCTGGTGGGAGCCAACGACTCCAGTTCCTTCCATCTAGGAAGCTCTGGCACTTACAGATGCACACACGTACCCATATGGACATGCTGCTTTCTTGACATTCTCCTAGTCACATCCTGGGCTTCACTGTCTGGAAGGTTTTGCTAAGCAGCTGCTTGCCATCAAGTCAGGTGTTTATCCTTAGGGCAAGGTGTTGCCTGGAGAAATATAGGTCACTTCATCTGATTAATTTGTCTATGTGTAGTTTAGAATTGCTTAACATGGGTAAATCCAGATTGCTCAGCTCCCACTCAGGAGAGAGATTGTAATAAAGTGCTGTTTGAAATCCCAGCCCTTGCGTGTGTTTAGCCTGTTCTCGGGAAGGATGAGCCAACAGAAGCAATGACAGTTGCATCTGGTAAATCACAGAGTTTTACTGATGCTGCTGTCCATTCTGGTGCATAAATTCCCCCACGATCTGTACTGAGTGTTAAAAAATCTGCTGCTATTTTAGTAATAAACGTACATTAGCTGCAGTTTTTAAAGTAGCATTTAGAGCCTTTTGGATACCTTCCAGACTGCATCAAACACACAGTAAAATGGAGTGCAGAGATGACAGAAAATGCCCCTGGTTGGGACTATGGAAAATGGAAGGACTGTTTGTACATTATTCTCTGGCCTTGTCTCAGACAGGGGGCTCGGGGAGGGGTGTGGGGTACTTCGAGGATGACAAAATGATATGCCCAAAGATGGAGTAAAGTCTAAGCTGGGAGCTTTGAGATCAAGTCTGTGTGTGCTTTTCAAACCAGTTATTGGAGTTGTACCTGTGCTCCTGTCCTGTGCCTTACCCTCCCCCGGTTGCCAAAGAAATAAATGTAAAAATTCAGGTGTGTAACACTGAATGGGACAGTAGTTGCGAGCAGCTTCTCACAGCCTCAGATTTTTGCTTGTGTGTGTAATCTCTGTTAGCAAGTCCTTAATGTCTATTTGGCCATGAGGAGATACGTAGGGAACAACATACAGCCTGGACTGGGGCCTAATTATTAATGTACAAACTCATGCCCCATCCATAGCCCCTAAATACCTATTAGCATATGCATTTATGGTTGCTCTCTGATGGTTTCAAAGGAAGGTCAGCTTTTCCTTTGGTCTACTTCTGCTGGACATGTGTTTTCTGACTGATGCCTAACGTCAGCCCTCCGGACAGATTTCTCCAGGAAGTCTAAAGCTCCTCCTGTTGAGGAGAGATGGGCGAGCAATGCATCAGTTGCAGCCTTGGTTGCTCTCTCCCTTCTGATCGCTTTGGCCAAATACTAGCCACAGTAAAACTGGAATAAAGGTGCAGTCAAGAGAAGGAGACAGATAGCATTGACAGAGGCTGAATTTAAAATCTTTTATTATTTAGCTTTGCCAAACAGATAATGGAATCTGAAGTTGATTTGCTAAAATGTTTTGAAGTGGATGCCACCCCTGCCTGAGACAAAGAGGGCCTCAGTGGCAGCAGGGACTGTTAGGCTATGGCAGCAGTTCAAAAGAACACTTTTAATTTTGTATGCAACAATGTAAACTTAAAAAATAGTAAACTATAACCTTCCCCCCCTTTTTTTTACATAGCGTGATCTATCACAGATAGAAATTTAATGGCGAACCAAAATCGCATAAGTAAACATCCTGGTGCTTACAAGTTTCATAAAAAGTGTTACATTTGATGTAAATATCTTACATTTTTAACTCTTAACACTCACAATTATGGAGTAAAAGCAACTGGCGATTCACCCCCTTAGTCCGTGCTCTCAGACTGTACATCAGCAACCACACTCTTGCCAGCCCCTTTGATCATTTTCGGTCGGGTTGTCCCACACGTGACCAAGACTTCCCCTTCCTCACACTGGTGTTAGTCAAGCGCAGCTCCACACAGGGGTAAAACCTGTGCAAGTGAGGAGAGAGCCAGGTCTGCTGCGCTTAAACTTGCAGTCCCCTGGGCCCCGCGTTCCCACAGAAGCCACAGCACGTATGGGGGGGCACGTCCTGATGTCGGTGGGAATTTGGGGTCCCCCAGGGCTGCACAAGCCTGAGCCCTGCCATTGCAAGTGCCTCGCGGCAGGACCTGGTTCTGCGTGGATAAAGCCAAGAGTTCTGTAGAAGGCACTGGATTTCTCTTGCATGATTTTAAATGTGGACTACAGTCGTGCAGAATAAGGAGATTTGGGCTCTAAACCGCTTTCTCTCTAGTGCTTTAGTGCAAGCATTTTTAGCGCTTGAATTTTCTCCTGGTTGCAGCGCAACATGCGCTCATCTACATCGAGTGATTTCCAAACCTCCTTCCTTCCACTCTTTCCCCCATCCTCCCATCCCTGAAAAGATTCCCTTTTGGTTCCTTGAAAACTTTCAGAGTACAGCTCTGGTCAAAAATAAACGTGTGATGAAGCATAGCATTTGTTTCTTTTAAATCACAGTGTACAATGCATCATTCGGTACCTAATGTTCAAAATGTCTGCCCTGCTTTTCATGAAAATCATTCTTTAAAATAACCTATGCAAATATATTTTGACTATATATTACATTCATTTAAAAAGAGAAGAGAGGTTCTTGGTTTGCAGTTTTTTTTCAGTGTACTACTTAAGTGAAAGGTCTGATGTGAAAAAAGTACAAGCAAACTGGACATGCCAAGACTCGATGCCTTAGATGGTGATCATATCAAAACTGTACAGGTATGTACACCGTGTTGGGCAGGTGTGCTTCTTCCCAAGAAAAGACCTTTGCATCATCATATATAAGGTTAACCACAAAGTTTTGGTAAAAAGAGCATTTAATGAGCAAAGGATGACATGGAGGGGCGAGTTCTCCGGCTTTTGTTAGGCAGTCCTGAAGCAATGTCTCCATTCCCTTCGGGGATTTCTTCCTTCTTCCGGACTTTGAGACGCGTGAGGAGCTTTATTACCCAGACGTCCCATTCCTCTGGCAAGAGCAACAGGAGGAAGCCCAGGCCAATAATGATGATGGCGATTACTCGGACACTGTTGAAGACAATTTCACTCGTGTAGTGATCAACAACTGTGTGGGACATTGAACGGGTGTTATTACATGGGACAAAACATTAGGGCAGTATCCCCTTCCCTCCCCCTCGCCTCCCTGGCTCTGGAGGCTGGCTGGGGCAGGAGAACATGACCATGGAGGAGATGGTGGCCGGGAGACTACCCTTCCTGCTGGTTTAGCACACACCAGGGTACGGCCCCCTTCAGAGCAGGCAGAGCTGGCCTGTGGGCTCAGGGTGCAAAAGGGGACGTTGCCTGGAGCTGCACTGGTTGTCTGCAGCAGCATCTTGTCCCTTGTTCGCTGACAGCACAGGAACTCCTGCTGAGGTCTGGGTATGCAGAGAAATACTCCTGCTGAGGTCTGGGTATGCAGAGAAAGGGGCGCTTCCCTTCCCTGGCATGGCAGCTCCTTTGTGCAAATTTTTCTTCTCAGCCTGACTGCCCCGCTGAATAACAAACCCTGCACACCCTGAGCCGTGCACACACTCCGGTGGGGATCACGCCGTTCGGTATGAAAATCTGCCGGGGCAGCCAGCGGTGCCCGGCTCTGCGTGTGTGTAGTCAGCACAAAGCTGGGAGCTGCCGCCTGCCTGCACCGTGGCACCAGTTCAGCACGCTGGGTTTTAGGCGCCTGGTTTGGGAGAGGTGGCTCTGGTTTAGGCCAGGGTTGCCTCTGCGCTCCCCTGCCCATTCCTCTCAGGCTCTGCAGCCTCTTGGCTTTTGCTAAATTTCAGAAAACTGCCAGAGAAATGTACCAGGCCATGCCCAAAATTGAATTGTCCAGTGCTCTTGATAAACACCTTCAATGTTATTTACCAAGGCAAGCAGAATTACTAGTACATATTTGCTCTAAAATGTAAGCAATTTTATTTGTTTCAATTTAGTGTTAAGCCAGCCTTGAAGAAATGATTAAGAATTGATTTCTACTTCATCCATGAGTTTTCATCCTAGCCCAGACATTTTTATCAGTGTCATCTCCGTAAGTCCATCAGAGAAGATGCAAAACATGTTTAATAAAGCTATTTGCTTTTATCCCTGTTGTGTATTTGAAGGGCCACAGATTTAATGTATTCATTAAGAAGCAAAAGGCAGAAATTCTTACCCGCATTCACTGGGACACTCAGTACAATTCCAAGAGAAATCAAGGTGGGGTATGTAATAGCAATCCCAAAATTTAGTAGAATATTGAATGCTGAAGAAGGAAAGAAAAACACCTTTTACTACAGTGAAACTAGGCAAAGGGAATGTCACTTGAAACATTTATGCTTTATTACTCCCTCTGTATATTGTTCAAATAGAAGGCACATTAACAGAACGCATCAATGTTCTGTTGTTATTTCTGGAAGATACCTGTGGACAGACGTCTGTCTGCTGCATGTCCGTCTGCCTGAGACATTGCTGTTTCTGGGGAACTCTGTATCCCACGGGAGTCCAGTGGCAGGGTCACGTGGGGACAAACCCTCTCTCCGTGTAGTGTGCAGTGATTCCCACTCTCTATACCAAGCCACGTTGCCCTGCTGAAAGACTAAACACTTTTCATCTGGGAGATTTCAGCCAAACAGTCGCTTCTGGCTGGCTATTTTTTTTGTAGAAAAGCTGCCTCCAGCTGCAGGTGGAAGATGCTGCAAATCTAACTCTCCTCCAGACAGGAACTTGCTAAATACAATTTCATACAATGAAATTATAATACCATTATAATATCATTACAACTGAATGATTATAATATCACTCCATTGTAATACCATACACTGTTCATGGAGTGTCTCATGACAAATTAATAATTGCTTTGGACCAAGTTCACCCTTGTTTTACCGTGATTGCTTCAGCAAAGTCAGGAGAGCCTTGCCAATACTGAACTTGTCAGCAGCTGGGGCTCTGACTGCCTTCTACTAGTACCTATACATTGCACGCCCCAGCGACCGCTTGCCGAGTTCCACACTGCTTGCTTACAGAAACCTTCCATTGAGTCCACTGATAAGTAAACTGGAGGTCCTTCTAGAGTCAAGCGTTGTGACCGTTCAGGGTAAAAGGAGCTGGGACTCAAGATAGGGATGGAGAAGGGCTATTTCCAGTAGAAATGAAAGAAACGTTTTAGGAGATGCGATGCTGTCATCCAGTTTAGGGACCAACTGTGGCAGCACAGTCAACACATCTAGTTTAACAAGGAACAGCATCACATTTCTGATGACGATGAATCATTAAAGCTTAGATTTGGCATCCCTCCCAAGCTGGGTTCCCTTGGTGGCACAGCAGCGGCAGCAGAAGAGAGGCGTGCCACCTACCAAATTCCCATCAGCGCTATGCAACGCTACATTTTCAGAAGTTTCCTGCTCTTTAGGAATAGCAATTAGCTATTACTGAAGCCACCAGAGGTGCTGGAGGCTGGCCTTGACTGGCCTGGCCTAACCTGCTTGCTCGGGGGATGCTGATGAGCCCAAGGTAGCCGGCAGCCCTGCCGGCAGGGCTGCTTCCCGTCACAGCCTGGGCAAGCGTCGCTTGTCTCTGTGAGGCAGAGTTCACGAGTAGGAGTTAGGACAAGCTTTACAGTTTAGTCCCACAGCACCTTCTAATGACGGCCACAATACTTTGGCTTGGTAATAACAGCAGGAGTGGGCTCTACATGGCCACCTAGGAATGGGCCCTCTGCATGATTTCTCAAGCTAGTAACTAGGTTGAGAAGGGAAAACAGCTCCAGTATGTCAGAAGTCTACAGCTTCCCTTAGCGGCCAGTTTCTGGCACCCTCCTCCACCCCAAGCAGTGCGAGAGCCCCCCGTCTACTCACTCAATAAAAGAATCGAAAATCCGCAGAGGTTCCCCCAAGGAATGATGTCAAAAGAGCTCCAGTACTCCACTTTGGTAAAATAAAGGATGACAGGAATACAGGTAACGAAGAGGACGTTGAAGACAGCTAACACGGACAGGAATAAGGCAGCTTCTCCAAATTTAGCACTGCCCAAAAGAAGTTTGAATAAAACCTACAAGAGGAAAACACATGGGTTTAACTCTCTTGCACCGCTCCTCTGGAGGGCTGGTGTCCTGGCTCCAGTGGCTCCCGGTGGCCTGGCCCCTGGCTTGGGGCCGAGGGGCTGGGTGCCGAGCCAGTCAGTCAGCACCTGTGTGGTGATGCTTGCCGGACACTTGAGGTGGCTGCTAGTGAAGCTGTGGAGCGCAGCTCGTGTGCCCCAGCCTTCTCCCTCCTGGCACCCCCCCAGAGCACAGGCAGGGGCAGCTGCCAAATAAGCCCAGGCAGGAAGGGGACTCAGCACCTCTGGCCGTGCACCTCCTGAAAGGGAAGGTTGCTCACCCTAATCTAGGCCTTTCGGTCTGTTTTCTGCAGGCTCCCTTTGGGAAAACCTCAGGAAAAATTTACATTAAAAACAGAAGACTTGGTGGAGCAGGGCAGGGGCAGGAGAGGAAGCAACGTGTTGAGATCCTGCATGAGACATCACTGTTCCAGGCCCCTCTCCACCAGAGAGGAGGGGGCGGCTCCGAGGCTGTTCCCTCCCGTCCTCATTCCCTTTGCTTTGGCTGGCCCATCTACCTGGGAGGGTTTTTTTTCTGTGGTGTGAATTTCTTCCTCCTCCTAGACACCGGATGGAGGAAGGCTGCTGAAATGGGGCACTGCTGTGGCCCAGGTGGGCTGCAGGGCATCTGGGTGATGGGCTCATGGGTGCCGTGACCAGCACTGCCCCATGCAGCCCTGGAGAAACCACCCTCTGTGGGAGCTGAGGCTCCCTCTGACATTCCTGACTCGACCTCCCTGGTGGGGTTTTAAAAGTTAGATTTGGTCAGTGGGAAGCAGCAAGACGGGAAATTACAAATACTTAAAAAAAAAAAAAACCCTTCCCCTTAAGAACCAGGTTCTCTTCTTGTAGATACCAACTTCAGCAGCTGCACACAGGAGCAGCTCTTTTCCTCTGCTGGATGCTCACTTCCAGTGTATTTTTTAGGAAGATAAATGAGGTTTTATACCAATGCGTAGCATGTCCATTTTCTCTGAAGGAGGGAGCAGCTTGCTGCCCCGCAGACTCTGGCAGCGAGGACAGCAGTGTCTGTGCACCTCCCCAGGGTGCCAGCCCAGCCTGGGCCTGCCTGCGGTGGGACCGGCTCGTCCCCAGAAGGCAGGTAGTGCAGAAGCAGCCCCGCAGCCCAGAGCACAGCTGCAGCCTGACTAATGAGACCGTGGGGAGGGATTTAAAAGCTTTGGTTTGTTAGTGGGAGAAGGGATAAAGAGAGAGGAAATGAGGGGTGTGAGCGGCCCATCCGGGGAGCCCCTGTGGACTAGAATCATAGAATAGAATCATAGAATCATTGAGGTTGGAAAAGACCTCTAAGATCATCGAGTCCAACCGTCAACCCAAC